TATTTTCATGGTTTTGATCCCTATTTAAGGTCTCTAACCCCTTGGGGGTCCTTCATATCACGAGCCTCTAACTCAAAACCCTAGCCCCTTCTCACTTATTTTGAGCATTGACATCATTTATGAGCTTATTTCTCCATTAGTAGGTGGGATCTTGAAGAACAAGGTGGTGGCAAAGTGTATGGAAGAAGGATTCAAGCATAAATCCAATAAGATTACATCATTTTCTGGACCTTTGTGAGTAAAAAACTTCAAACTTGCTCATTAGTTTCATAGATCTTGTTAATTTTCATATTTGTCACTTTAGTGCATAAAGTTTAGATCTTGAAAGTTTGTGACCTTGTTATGGATAAACTTTATCCATCTAAACATCATATTGATCCAGATATGTAGGTTGGAGACTTGGACTTCATGGATTAAGTTGAGAAAGATGGATTTTTGGTCCCTTTGAGACTTAAAGACTAGATCTCGATTATTTGGATCATCCTAATGAATAAAGTTGGAAACTTTATCCCTTATGGAGCTATTAGGAACAATAAAAATGTGATCTTGGTCCCTTTCTTTCCTCCATGCAAGAGTTATGATCAGGAGCGGGTCTATGCATGCCCAAGGTGGGTCACATGAACCACCTAGTTTTATAAATAATACAAGAAATTATATACCAAAAATATTTAGGAACTACCTTAAGATTTTAGAAGGAGCTACCTTAAAGAAAAAAAAAGGGAACGAAAAAAGAGAGGAAGAGATTTTGAGAGGAAGAGATTTTGAGTTGAAACGCAAATGAAGCAATGGAACGACAAGTTACAAATGAATATATCTTTTTTGTTGGCTTTTCGTGCTTTGGGGAAAACTGGTTTGATCGTGAATCTGTATCTTTTGGTTAGATTTTTTTTAAGTAGATTTTAATATCACTTTTCTTTAAATGAAAAATCTTTATTCACACATTTTTTTTATTAATGACTATTAGATGTGAATAATAATTAGCATTATATACATATGTTTTTATATATACGTAGGTAGTTAAGTTACAATGCCAATTTGATTAAAAGAAAATTGTATATATATTTAACTTACCCATTTATAAATAAATATGATGTATTGGTAAAACATGAAAGGACGTTACTTATACATGTTTATTTTTTAAATACGTGTAGATTAAAAAATTACGTCATGTATAACTAATTTAACAAATCGGCTTTATTCTAAATTTAAGTTGATTTTAGCCAAAAAAAAATTAAGGAATGATCGGTTTACACACTAAAAAAATATGTCATGTATGACTAACCCATTTTTTTCTTGAACCAGCCCTAGTTAGTGAACCACGTTGGTTTCTATTCTACACTCGCAACTGGTTATGATGCCTTAGTTTGTGTATTAAGTTAAGGTTTTGGTGTGTGGACTCCTTGTAGCCATGGAAAGTCATAAAGTTTGAAACTTTATGACTTAGAATATTATTTGGGACTAGATTTGAGCTTTGGATGTGAGATCTTAATGGAATAAGCACTTAATGAAGGAAAATGGAACTGGTCGAGTACGCTGGGCGTACCTGGTAGTACGCTGAGCGTACTAGGCTGGAGCCCTGTAATCAGGAAGGGATGTACTACGCTGAGTGTAGTGACTGAGTAAGTTGGGCGTACTTAGTATGTGTTGACCTCCTTTGACCTTTTGACCCATTGACTTTTTGGATCAGTTTGACTTTTGGTCAAACTTGGGTAGAATTGAGTATTTGACTAAGGTCTCGATTTAGTTTCAGGAAGTTTGGGTTGGCTGTTCTGATGTTGAGGTAGCTGTTGGGCTTCTGTTGAGTAGTTTAGGTGAGTCTTCTTATAGTGTTTGGCAGGTCGAAGGCACCAATGCCAACCCATTGATTATTGTTTATAGGATGCGAGTTGTCTGTGTGACTCTTGCATGTATTGTATGTGTTTGTATGTATACTGGGGGGGGGGGGGATGTGAGACGAGGCCTGATGAATGTGTTGGGCGGCGCCCATCGCATGTTACCGACAGATCTGTACCCGGCGGGGCCCGATGTTGGGTGAGGCCCGATGGATGTCGGGCGAGGCCCATTGTATGTATTATATATGGTATTTTAGGGAACTCACTAAGCTTGGTGTTTACGGTTTATGTTTAAAATGTTTTCAAGTACTTCTGATTTCAAAAGGAAGGGTTGACTTGATCGCACTGCATCCCCTAAAGATTTATTATGCATTGCTTGTTTTATGATTTTACTATGATATTTTGAGAATACTTTTATTATAATCGTCTTTTGGGATAATGAATGAATGTTTTGACTTATTTAAAATGAATTTTTTTGCTCGAAAATTTTAGGATGTTACATAGATGGTGATGAACAAGTAAAGGCATAGGTGGGAGTTGTGTTTCATGGTGGTGGTTGGGGAAATATGAGGGTAGAGGTCTGGGGAAGGAAGGGTATGGGGTTCGATTCGAAAGGGCGAAGATAAAAAGAAAAAGAAGGTGTGGGGAAGAAAACCTCATGAAGATAGCGGTGGATGGGGTACTGAAGCCAACGCGGCCAACTAAGTGGAGAGTGTAACCATGATGCAATTAGTCCAAATATTAAACATTAGCACATCTAAAATTCTTTCACCACAAAACCACACATTTATGACAAACTTAACTACTTTTAAGTTAATAACCCATGCATTTCACTGGATGAAATATAATTGTTAGTTAATGGGACCCTCTTATATATTTATCTATCAAGTGGTACCCATCAAATATATTTATCTGCCGACAAATAAAATTGATATATTTATCTACCAAGTTACAATCTTCAAAATTCATATTTTTCTAAAAACGACCAAACCCTAAATCTGGCTCCAAATTCCTATACAATTAATATGTTAGAGTGTGTGGCTCACCTAACAACTTCTCAATAACGGTGAAATCCATCTGTCATCACCGCCAATCTAAGACACCGTCTGCTGCTGCTACGCCAACGGCGTCTATGTGCGGCGTCCTCCACCACGTATATGGCCGTTGCTGGCTGCACCGAAGGTAGCGTCCATGAGAATGAGTAAGAGGTAGGTGGCGGATGGGACTTAAGGAGGGGTTTTATACGAAGAGAAAAAAAGGCAAGTGAAGGTTCTTCCTCATACCGTCCATCTAGTGTGTAAGGTAAATAGCATTGATAATTGGACACCTGTCGTCGTTACTTCAACAGCATAGCTGTGATCACGATGGGTGGATGGTGTGATCCATAGCTATATAGCTGATACTTCAGATTAACTTTTGGAAACTTTGAATACAGAGCAGCTAAATGAGAAAAATCAGCAACTACAAGGGTTTAGTGTTGTCAGAAGCACGGAATTTCATGATGCTAATGGAGGTTAATACTGATGAAGATTCGTCTTATTTCTACCACTAACAATGGAATGAACTCTGAGATTGAGTGATCATTTGGGGTAGACTTTCCAAGGATAAAATGCAATCAATTGACTAACAATCTCTCAGGAAAAAGTTACTCAAGGAGGAGAATGTTTGTTTGATTCTGTAGGAACATCATGTCTTCAAGTAACTCTCAACAAAATACTTTGTTCAGGTAATTTTAAGTAATATAAATTATAACATAATTGTTGCACATGGATTCTATATCAAGTGCAAGTTACCTGATAAGTAGGATTTGGTTATGATATATTAAAGGAATTGATAACTTATATGAGTTTTAGCAGTTAGGTAGCTAATTTTAAAGTCTGCATTCTTCCTCCATGTTCAATCCTGATTATAAATTTTGAAGAGCACTTGATTGAAGGTGAGTGATTGCTTTTCTGCAAATCTAGATTTAACTGCTTTTGCAAATCAAAAAGTTATATACTTGTTTTGTAGTTCTTGCATTTAGTGAGGTACTTTTTGATCCCAATGTTACTTTCTTGGAGTGCACTTGTTTTACTTGTGTTTTGCTTAAGAAATTGCCTAATTTTAAGTGTGACTTTTTAGCAGAGAGTTTATGAATTTTGGTTGCTAGTTGTAGAAGGTTACACATCAACTGAAATTGTGAAGACAATTTAGAATGTGCCTCAGATTGTTCACTCTATTAATTTAAAACTTAATGAGGAAAGTCTCATGAATTTCTCTATTAAGTTTTGTTCTTTATACATTAAGCAAAAAAAGTTCCATATATAGCGTACTAAATTAAATCATGTCCTCATTAACTCCATTAAGTAACAAAAGAAACAACACCTCCTTGCCTAAGGTGTCACTTATTAAGACTTTAGTGCTAGTGCCCTGTTTGAGTCCTTGAGAGTTTCTAATTGTATCATTGAAGATTTTCCTTTCTTTTTCCAATATTTATATACATTGCCATTGCTATCTGTTCTTTATTATTGCTTTCAGAATCACAGAAAACAAATCATAACCTGCCTCTTCATGGGGGCAAAATGGTATCCCATAAACTTCTAAAAATTAGTTATGCAAACTTAAGAGGAATGTAAAGCATTACAAAAGATTATAACTTAATAAGTGACTAGATTCTAGTTTAATTTTAAGATTTTCTAGTGTTATCTATTCACTTTAACTTCTAAAAAAGTAAGATATGCCACATAAAAAAGTTACCACATTGTATGCACGGAAAGAAAACGAAATGTGGCCTTTCACTCAATTTGATTCTTTGGTAAAACCAAGTTCATAAGTAATTAAGATTCAGACGTTACATCTTATACAAGATTCTTGTTGACATGTTGAGCATTTGCTTTTTGTGAATGTTAACAGGGAAAAGTGGATTTCAATGTGATTTTAAACCATATTTGGAGGTGATAGTTATAAAAAAAAAGTCAAAACATACGGGGATATATATAGAATTACCTTAATACATTAGGTGGCATAAATGAAAATTAAATCCAACTAATCATCTCACCGTTCACTACTTCACTTGAGATCCAAATCCAACGGCTCTTATCCACCTGCCTCTCCTCCACCACTATATATATCATCACATAAACCCTAGTTTTCGTGCATCTACCCGACATCTGAGATCTAACCTAGAAGATGAATCAAAACACTAGCACCAAACTCAAAGAATTCATTTGCAGCAAATGTTATTGTGAAGATCAAAAGCTGATTCACAATGTCTTGTATCGAAGCCAACACCAAAGGTTATGCACATCATGTGTTCTTTTTACATGCAAAGAATTTTTTTGCCCCACTTGTTTTGGTGTCCATGGTCTGATTACACAGGGAACACTCATCACCTGTCAAAGATGTAATTCTAAGTCTCATCCCCTCTGCTTCTCCTCTAACCCTAGTCACTCAGGAGCACCTCCGATGTGTGCAGCTTGTGTGAACCCTGACACACTGATTTTTAACCCTAAGGGGTTGAGAATGAAAGGGGTTGATCGGGTTATGAATGTGATTGATGAAAAGTCAGTGATTTTGTTCTTGACAGCAGCAAAGGTAGGGGGTATGTTGATGTGTGGGGCAAGTGAGGTATTAAAAGATAATGTTGGGATGCTAGTAGCAAAAACTGTTATCGAACGTAAAAATGCAATATTGGGGGTGATTCGTGCTATGAGAGATCATGATTTGAAAAATAAAGATCGGAAGGTGGAGTCACTGCTTGACTTTTCGAATAGCGAGGATGATGATAGTGATGATGATGATACTTCTTGTGAAACTCTGAGTGATAATGGAAGGATGCAAAGCTTAAGCATCGAAGGTGAAGTTTCTGAAGCTGTGCCTATGGAGAGAGATTAACCTTGATGCAAAGGATGATGCTATTCAGAAGAAAATCCATCGTACTAGGTTTCTTGATTATCTTGAAGGTAAAATAAAAAAAAATTATCTTGTGGAATTTAGCAAGTAAAATAGGTTATGTGAGTCCTAATAAGCATTGGTTTATCCATAAACAATTTATAATTTGAACATGCAATGTAATGATGAATGCTATGCTAGTTGTTGTTTTATGTTTGGAAACCAAATATTCAATGCGTTATGTTGTCATATATCTGGTATTAGTGGCTTTGTTTATAATGTTTTTGAGAAAGGGTTATATTTTTAGCAACCCTTGAGGTGGCTGACATAAGAGCCCAGTGAGCCTAACCTAATCTTCAGTTGAAGTTGAACAGTGAACACTCACACTGCAGCCGCTGAGGCTTGAACCCGTGATCATTTTAGTATACCAATGGTGCTAACACTGTAGGTCCATTTAGGTTTAATCCGGATCTATGTAGTTCCATTTGTGTCTTTTTGCTTCATTTTATGATTATGTATGCATATTAAGGTCTATTTAGGCATATCTACTTAAGTGCTTTTTGGAAAATTAGTATCTACTTAAGTGCTTTTTGGACAATTAAGGTAGACATCTACTTGTAGTTTTGGTTTCTCACCTAAACAGCTAATTTCTTATGCTTGACTAGACAAGAAAGAATGAAACATGATGGCTTTCATTTTTATCCCCCATTTTTAGGTGGGAAAAGAATTTGGAAACATTCGTCTCATTGACACTAGTTGCAGTCCCAATCCCAATCCAATGCATGCCAAACACAGGACAATATTCTTCTGTCTTGTCTTGTACTGTATAACAAATGGGGCGTAGTAGTTTCCGAAGTAGGCCATAGTTTTCACAAGTGTGAGTAGTGAGGAAATAGACCTGATTTAACATAAAAGAGACTTAGCCTTATCCATCTCTCTTCCGCTACTATATCATCACGCAAACCCTAATTTCATGCCCTAAATCGATCATCATTCTGACTCAAAGATCCCATTTGCAGCAGTTGTGGTTTCAAAGATCCAAAGCTCATTCGTACCAAAACAAATATGAAAGATTATGCACATCATGTGTCCTTTTTACATGTGAAGAATACTTTTGTCCCACCTGTTTTGGTGTCTATGATCTCATTACAAAAGGATAAAAAACTCATACGTTGTAAAAGATGCAATTCTTGCGTTCATCTCGTTTGCTTTTCCTCTAACCATAGGCAATAAGGAGCACCTTTAATGTGCTCATCATGCATAGACCCTAAAAGGCTAATTTTTGTCCCCAAGGAGTTGAATTTAAAAGGGGATAATGAAAACGATAAGGGGAGGGGATGTTGTGGTATTTAAGTAAGCGAAAGTCTGAAATATCTTATGTACTAGTTTAATTTATTTTGAACATGATGGATGCTATCTATTGTTTTTTTTAATGGCGTATGTTGTTTCATGTGTGGTATTATTGGTTTTGTTTCTGCAAATGGTTATTTTTCTAGCAACCCTTGAGCTGCTTAACAATAAGACTCTCATTAAGGAATTGACGACTTAATTAGAACTTCCACCACTGGACCGGTTGTTTTGCAGTATATGGTTTCAACATAATGTATCCTTATTTTCCCAACTTCTGTATCAAGTTAAAAAGAATTACCTATCTGTAGTTCACCAGATTAACTTGTTTGTGTACAAGGTAGTTCTTGGTGGTTTTTCACTTTGAACTTTGAAGTAATTGAAGCAGCATATTATGTTTTTTTGACTTGTTGGGTGTAACCAACTAGCAACATATGTCTTGGATAGGATTTTGGCCTACCAATTAGTAATCTGGAACGATATCTCTCTCATATTGTATGTGAGTGGAATTTGTGCCACTAAAATCTGCAAAAGTATCACAGCTTATTCATTATTGGTCTTTTGATTTTTCTGACCCTGTTCCATTTGGCTGCAATTTTTAATTGGGACATGACTAGACAACATTCCTTATTCTCTGTCTTTTCTTTTTAAACATATGCTCAACTGACTATTTCTCAAAATTTTCTTGATAATTTCAGGGAGAAAATGTTTATATGAAAATGAAATTGGTATAATTATTATTGTTGGATATATGACTGATAAATCTTGATTAAAAATATATTTAATCATAACAATCTGTTGGCGTCATTTACCAGGGTAATATCACATCATTAATACGATCAGTGGATGAGTTTCTCACAGTAACAACATTTATCATTTTTATTAAAATTCAAGTAAACAATGTTTGAGTGAGAAACGTTGAGAATTCAAGTATGATTGAGACTTAAGAGCATACAGATCTTAGAAGTCAAAGGTCGATATACAACGTATATCAAGAAGTTCCAGATTGGCTACAACGATAATCTTTGGTTCTTTCATATGCTTGTACAAAATATTATCTTAATCCATCATATACACACATTATTTGGCTACAGAATAATTTTATGCCCCTATGTACCTTATGACACACAAAATGCATATATAAATTTTTTTTATAACAAATATGATATTAAATTGATAGTCAAACAAAATCTATATTAATACAAATCAAACCTTCAAAAATCATCTAAAATGATCTCTTCAGACATTTTTCAAAACAAAAACATCAATTATTTTATAATAATCAAAACTTTGTTAAAATTGATTTTAATACTTAAAATTGCTAACTCATTCAACATTTCTTGAGTCATGGTGCTTCGAAGATACGATTTCAAGAGCTTTAATTTTGAAAAACTTCTTTCTGCTTTGTAAGATTCAGTTGACAAACTCTTTCCACGGAAGTAAAGTAGATTATATGGATAGATTAAGAACTTTTTGTATGCTTCATCCAACAAAATTTTCTGTAAAATTTGTAACCCAATTGTAAACGATTAGTCATTTCTTGTTCTCTTTTTTCTGTTTTCTAATTCAACAAATATAGTAATGAAAGCTAAGCAAAAAAGATACTTCATCAAAAAAGTTTATGATTTTGTTTCAACTTTGAAGATGTCAAATGATCTCGAAAATAAATCATACAATTAAAAAATAGATTCCATTTTTCAAGAACTATTGTCTAATAGAATCCATTTTTGAAGAACTATTGTCCAAATAGAAAAAGAGGAATAATTATATACCTCACACAACAATGAAATAATTATATACCTCTTGCTGCGTTGACAGGTCCACTAGATATTCAGAACAATCAGAAGTTCAATAGAAAATTATATGATATACCTCCTACATCACATAAACAGAACATCAAATGTTAGAATACATCACATAAACAAAACATAATTTGTTAGAAAGGAACTCTAAAATCTATACCCCAAGCAAACCATAAATATCATAACTAAAGCAGGTCCTTTCGAGTTTCTACTGTGATCACAAATATCATTACATAAAATTCACATTTCGAACTCAAATAGAAGATATTGGACCTCATCGAACTCCAACAGGTTTTCTCTAGTTTATACTGTGATCGAACTCAAACACAACAAGTAACAGTCCACAAAATCAAGCTGAAACAAACCATAAAAATTAGATTAAGAGAAACTAGAGAATAAGAAGAAATCGAACCCACCCAAATCAGAATAAGAGAAATCATAAATCAAAAACCTCAAAATCATCGGACTTCTTGTGCCATCGGTGGTTTGCTTCAGATTTAAAAAAAATGTACTCATCTAAATCACAGGAATGATGAATCAACCTCTGTCCTTCGAATTGCAACTTAACCATAACCAGGCACACAAATAGGAAATCACAATAACAGAATAAGATCAATATAAGAAAAAATAAGAATTAGAAATTAGAGAAAATTCGATGAAAATCAGAAATAGAAATTAGATATAGAGGGATATAGGTATAATCGGTATCAGTTCATCGATTTAGATGGCTCTTGCCTCCTCAGTCTCCACAGTGTACGATTCTCAAGGGCATCATCAATTTGATTTGGCAATTACATTTCTCAAGGTGCTTCAATCCTTCAAGTTCAGTTATTTGGCGCCCATGGATGCCTCACTTGCTTCTCTAGCTCTCCAGACGCTTGATTGAAATAAGAATTGGGCTAAATGTTTAGGCCAAACTACTATACATATAATTACTTATTGGACTAAACTTATGCCCTCTTATTTTTGCTGCCCTGGGCCTTAGCCCAACTCGCCCATGTATTGGGCCGGATCTGATTATTTAGTATGACAACTAAAATAAGTGATAAACCATGGAAAACAAATTTAAGGTAGTACAAATTTTAAATCCATTATACACATTATTCGATGAATGTTCCCTTTCATTCGGTATAAAACAATAAAAAAATGTAACATGTCTTTCTATGTATTGATATTTTATACTTTTCCTAAAATGTTTAATTGGTTGAAATCTGGTTGTATAAGTGGGTTTGCTGCATAGGTCAGTTTAAATTGAAATATTATTGCATAAATCAGTAGCAAACAATGTCATATTATGAGGTAATTGAATTTTTTTGGTTATAATGTTAGCATATTTCGGTGCTAGAGTGAAATGTAAAGGCATGTCTCGTCCAAAAAATCATGTTGTTGTTTAGTAGAAGAATGAGGCGTTACATAACCAACATTTGACTTTATACTCATGCTTTTGTAATAGTTTATTGTTATGGACAAAAAGAATAATGTTGTTCATGAACACTCTAACCTAAGCTAGTTGTAATGTCTATCCTCAAAACAGTTATTCCTGAAAAACAATCGAGTTTGTGCTCACCAACGGTAGTGATGTTACACCATACCAAAACCATATTAGCATGTGGTGGTAAGGGAGTCAAAAGTCATTGTATATGTTCAGTTCGTTGATGAAATTAATGATGTTGAAGATATCTATATAGATGTATTATTTGTTACTATACTTATGGGATTTTGGCACATTAGAGTCATGTGATGTATGGTTATTAGGATCTATAAATATGTAAACTAGATTTTGAGAGGGTGACATGCTAATTTGGTAACTATTGGGTGTGAAATATGGTATTGTCACACCCCGAAACCATGATG